TAGTCCAACCCTCTGCTCAGGCAGGAAGCCCTATCCCGTTTTGGACAAACCACAGAGAAAGCTACCACAAATCGAAGAGGCTGTACTGTAGGTGATCAGGCTGAGCCTGAGGGAGAGAAGGGTCAAACATGTCATCAGCCTCCAGTCCCTTCGTGCCCAGAAGAGGCCTAAGCCCAGCCCACTCTTACCTACCCCAATTTGCTTGGGCCGTTAGTAGTTCAGAGTCTTGTCGAGAGCTTAAGCTTGCAGTAAGTAAACCTTTTCTGTTCATTTGTCTGAATTTCTGATTTCCCGTGCCTGACAGGTACCAGAATAACATAAAGATTATTTAACATCCTAGTTTGGACTCCTGTTTCTTAGTGGCCCCGTTCTGCATCCTTTTCTGAGCTCCTTTTGATTCTCCTGCCCGCAGCCACCAACCTGTGCTTTGCGGAGCATAACGTGTACACCTCGGAGGTGCTGGCTGTGGTGATGCAGCAGCTAATGGAGCAGAGCCCGCTGCCCATGCTCCTCATGCGGACGGTCATCCAGTCACTGACCATGTACCCCCGCCTGGGCGGCTTCGTCATGAATATCCTTTCACGCCTCATCTCAAAGCAGGTCAGTTTGGGGGGGGGGGCAGGGAAGAGAGCCTAGGCTCCTTAAACCCTTGGTTCTTTTCCTGAAGACCAGTTAGGGTTGTAATGGTTGGCCTTGCTCACCGCCCCGAGTCAATTGGATTGAGATGGGCGGCTGTAGAAATTGAACAGGTGAATGGAATCCATTTCAGCCCTCCTGCCAGTTGGGGCTTGGGACTTCAAAGGAGGGGCTTCATGTTGGAGGTGGCTGGTAGATTAAAATCAGATCCCACCTCCCCTCTCCATCTTACTCCCTCCCTCCCCTTCTTTTGTATTATAATTTTGTACTATTTATATAGTTTTATTTTTTTAATATTGTAAGCTGCCCTCTGATAAGATGGGCGGCCAGTACATTTAATGAATGAAAGAGTTGAGTGAGTGACTCCAGGTGCTCAGCCACATGTTTGAACCCTTTGCTTCTTCCTCCAGGTGTGGAAGTACCCCAAAGTCTGGGAGGGCTTCATCAAATGCTGCCAGCGCACTAAGCCTCAGTCCTTCCAGGTCATCCTCCAGTTGCCTCCACAGCAGCTCAGTGCCATCTTTGAAAAGTGCCCAGAGCTGCGGGAGCCTCTGCTTGCTCATGTCCGCTCCTTCACCCCCCATCAGGTAGGGGCATCACACCTAAATAAGACTCTGGACTGTATCCCTGGGTGCCTGGGAGGCCATTTGCCCTGTTTGCTTCAAAACATACATTCTCAAAGGCAGTTCCCAGGGCAGAACTGGATCAGAATTAGAATTGTTAGAATGATTAATATGATTAGAATTAGAAAGATTAGAATTAGAATGATTAGAATTAGAAATAGAATTATTCTCTATCGGCCAAGTGTGATCGGACACACAAGGAATTTGTCTGCGGTGCAGAAGCTCTCAGTGTACATGCAAAACAACAAAGTGGATAATCATAGATACCAATGGGAAATAGGAAAGATGAGAAGGATATTAGTAATACAGCCCTACTACATGGGTAAATATCTTTAGGCATAAGACAGTGCTGTGGGAATTAGGTGTTTAGCAGAAGTGGATCTATACCGAGATGTTAGTTGAAAAGCTGAGCCCAGGAATAACCTTGCATTTGTGTTTCGGAGTCTCTCTCTCTCTCTGAGAAGTAGGCCGCCTTCCTTTTGCTGCCTTAAATTCTGCCCGTTGACGTAGCGTCCTTCTCACCCTCAGCAAGCCCACCTCCCCAATTCCACCATGGCCATCCTGGAGGCCACCAACAAACAGGAAACGGAAGGCAAAGAGCTTCAGCCCCTGGAGGAAGGGAGGGGCCCTGTTCCACCCAGGACGAAGACCCTGCGAAGAGAGAGGGAGGTCAGCACCCAGGAGGACGGGGGGGGGGGGAAGGGAGTTGGAATTATTGCACCGGGCGCCCCTGGATTGTATGGAATTGCAACCGCACCGGGGAAGAGTCTGGCTTTATGAGTGTTGAAAGGGGAGGGGGGAGAACCGGTTGCCAAGCGCCTGAGTTGGGATCACGTGAGCACGGGGGAATGTTGCGACGGTCGTTAAGGGTGAAAAACGGTCCTGACATTTCCTTTTCACTGCCGTTGCAACTTTAAATGGTCTCTAAACGAACTGTTGTAAGTTCGAGGACTGCCCATTGCAACCAGCCACCGGGGCTGTTAAAACTCCCCGAATAGGTCGGGCCCGGATCTAGTCTAGCCAGATTCTTCAAGGCGCGAAGAACTTCTCTAATAGATCCTAAAGCCAAACCTGCTCGATCCCCAGGAAGAAGCAGAACCGCAGCCTCTCCTGCCTCGGGTGTCCCAGGACATGATCGCCCTGCGCCTGGCCCAGGAGAAGGCTCTAAAGCGCCAGCTGGAAGAGGAGCAAAAACTGAAGCAGCAGCAGCAGCAGCAACAGGCTCGTCCTGCTGGCCCACCCACCCCTCTCCCGGCTGAGGAATTGGCGGACCTGCCGGAAGACGTGCCCGAAGCCGAAGCGGAGACCCCCACCATCTTCATCAGCATGCAGGAGGAAGAGGAGAGTTTTGGGGGGGAGAGCTCTCTGCTGGATTCCAGCTTAGAAGGGCCCTGGCCCAGCAAGGTATTCCTCTCTTTGAATTTTGTATTTATTTTTTTTTAATTTCTATGCCGCCTTTATTGTTTTTACAAATAAAGCAAGGTGGCAAACATCCCCAACACACCTTCCTCCTCTCATTTTCCCCACAACCACCATCTTGTGAGGTGGGTTGTTGGGCTGAGAGACACGGACTAGTGCAGGGGTAGGAAACCTGGGCTCTTTTATGACTCGTGGACTTCAACTCCCAGAATTCCTGAGCCAGCATGGCTCAGCATAGAAAACTCTCCCTTTCCCCTCAGTGTGGCTGGCTCAGGAATTCTGGGAGTTGAAGTCCACCAGTCATAAAAGAGCCAAGGTTGCCTACCCCTGGACCAGTCCAAAGTCACCCAGCCGGCTTTCATGCCTAAGGCGGGACTAGAACTCGCCGTCTCCTGGTGATTGCCCAGTCACCCAGCCAGTTTTCATGCTTAGGGCCAGACTGGAACTCACCATCTCCTGGTGATTGGCTCACCCAACCAACCTTTGTGCCTAATGCGGAACTAGAACTCACCGTCTCCTGGCGATTGGCCTAAAGTCACCCAGTTGGCTTTCATGGCTAAGAGTAGAACTCACCGCTTTCCACTTTCTAGCCTGCTGCCTTAGATCAAACTGGCTCTTTTAATTGAATATATTGAATGCTAGGGGTTGGGGGCTCTTGCAGTCCTCAGTGAAAACCATTGTCCATTTGACTCCAGTTCTGGGCGCTGCCATCGTAGCATTTCCCAGCCAGAAACCAGGTTACTCCCTCGGATTCCTATTCGGTCGAAAACACATTTGTCTGAAATTCCACGCTTGGCTTTCACTGTTTTTTTCCCCGTGTCTGATTTTGACTCTGATGGGCATCACGTTACGTTTCCACAGGAGTTGCTCAGCAAGGAAGGGGGCGGCAGCAGCAGCAGCTCAGATGAGGGGTCCTCCGGCAAGACCCCAGCCCCGGCCCCGTCCACCCCTGTCCCAGAAGAGACAGCCAAGGACAGCCAAGCGGCAGAGGCCGGTTCAGCCAGCCCCTCCGAGGAGCCCCCGGCAGTACCGCCAGCACCGTCCAAGGCCAGCACTGAGGAAGAAGAGAAGATGGAGAGTTGATGGGGGGAGGGATGGCCGGGGCGGGGTTGGGGGTAGACTGGGAAATTGGGGCTCCTGCTTTCTCAATAAAGCACTTCAGCTATCTTTCCTGGTCCTGGTGTGCTGTCTGCGGAGGGAAGCCCCAAAGGAGGTCAGCCACGTTCCCACGTGCAACAGGCAAATTGAGGGGGTGGGATTCATGCTGTGGGCCGGGGGTCTCCAATCTTGGCAACTTTACGACTTGTGGACTTCAACTCCCAGAATTCCTCGGCCAGCTGGGAGTTGAACTCTTGACAGACTTGAACAATGGGCCCTATCCAACAACGTGAAATTTAATGTGGGCAAAAGGAAAGTTTTACATTTAGGCAGGAAAAATAAAAAATATAAGTACAGATTGGGCGAGACCTGGCTCAAAAACAGCAACTGTGAGAGGGACCTTGGAGTCCTAGTGGACGGTCACCTGACTATGAGCCAGCCATGTGCAGCAGCAGCCAAAAAAGCTAACACAATCCTGGGTTGTATAAACAGAGGCATAGAATCAAGATCACGCGAGGTATCAGTGCCGCTTTATAAAACCCTAGTGAGACCACACCTGGAATACTGCAGCCAATTTTGGTCACCATATCACAAAAAAGATGTTGAGAGTTTGGAGAAAATTCAGAGAAGAGCAACTATGATCCAAGGCCTGGAGACTAAAAAATGAAGAATGGCTGCAGAACTTGGGTTTGGCCAGTCTAGAGAAAAGAAGAAATAGGGGGGACAGGATAGCGTTCCAGTATCTGAGGGGCTGCTGCCAAGAAGGGGGGGTCACGTTCACCAAAGCACCAGAGGGAAGGACGAGAAACAATGGTTGGAAACTGATCAAGGAGAGAAGCAACCTGGAATTAAGGAGAAACTTCCTGACAGTGAGGACAATTAACCAGTGGAACAGCTGGACACCAGAGGTTCTAGGTGCTCCATCACTGGAGGTTTTTAAGAAGAGGCTAGACAGTCACTTGTCTGAAATAGTATAGGTTCTGCTTGAGCAGAGGGCTGGACTAGAAGACCTCCAAGGTCCCTTCCAGCTCGAATCTGAATCTGCCCGCGTAGCCCCCAACTCCTTCACCCGTTGCTAAGGCGACCGCCTCCCCCGTTGCCAAGGCCAGCCCGTACCGCGCACCGTTGCCCGGCAACACCCCCCACCCCCGCGTTGCCCGACTTCCGGCGGCCGGAGGTGAGCGAGGGGTCGCGACTTCCGGGAGGCGGCGGCCGGGCGGGAAGATGGCGGCGGCGCTGGCTCCCCCG